CGCGAACACGTGCTCGCTGCTGACCTTCTCGTCCTCACTGGGAGGGAGAAGAGACGAAGAATGATAATAAGATCCTGAACAGGATGCAGAAGAGGAGACAAGCACATCGAGAAGGGGTGAGGAGAACGAAGAGGGAGGAAGGAGGTGGTGGTCGTGATAGAAGAGGTGGCGGGAGCGAGGTTCGAGGACCCGCGTCAGCGCTCCTTGGGCCCTCTGTGGGCCTCGGGAGTCCTCTGGAAACCTCCCGTGAGACCTCCTGGCTAACTCAGGAGAGTCATCTGCGAAGGGGTCTCCGAGGATCTCCGGACAGGGATCCTCCAGAGACCTCTGCGGGGACCGAGGGGAGGGAGGAGGAGGGAAGGAGCATGGTGGAGGGAGGGGAGGGGAAGGCGGGAGGGTGGTGGCGAGAGGAGGGAGGAGGCAAGGGGCACTGGGAGGAGCGAGGAGCGAGAAGGAGGAAGAGGAAAGAAAGGAGGGGTTGGAGGGCAAGAGGGGTTCTAAGTAGAGGGCAGGGAGAAGGGATTGGAGGGCAAGAGGAGGCAGAAGTGCAGGACAAGGAGAAGGGAGAAGAAGGAGAGGATGAGGAGGGAGGATGATGAGGAGAAGTATAGGAAGACAAAAGGGTATATTTGTAAGTAGTAGCTACATGGAACAAGCGTAGAGAGGAAAAGTGGAGGACGGAGGAGGTGGAGGAGGAGGCAGGACGTTGCATAAGAGCGCCATGCCGACTTCAGCTCTAGGCGAGAGAGCGGGCCCTCTGGCCTATGCACTCAATGAGCTCTGGCATCGTTCGTTCGCTGGCGCACGGAAACCAACGTTCGACACTGGCGCTTGGGGCGGAGGCGCAAGCACGAGCACACTGGGGCCTGGGGCCCCTCGGAGGAACGGAGAGCGACGAGCACGAGACCTGGGGGCCCCGCCCAACCCAGGAGCCCCGAATCTGGCCGAAGCCGACGCTTCCCCCCCCCCCGAAGCGCTGGACGCGGCCTTTCGACTTGACTCGAGCCGCCGGCGCTCGCTGGAGCCCCAGCGCAGTACCCCGGTGCCTGCGCGAGCCCCTGCGGAGGCGAGCACCACCCCGAGCGCGGGCCTCGTCAGGCCGTCGCCCCACGGCCAGCGAGGCCGCTCCCCTTCTGGGAGGCATCCGAATAGCACACCCACGTGCCCCGCCCAGGAGGCCAGGAGGAGGACGGAGTGGAGGAGGAGGAGGAGGAGGAGGAGGAGGAGGAGGAGGAGGAGGAGCGAACTTCGCTGCAGGGGGGCGACATCCATGACCCTACGCCCAGCGATCGCGTGCTATCCTGAGACAGCGCAGCATATGATCGGGGCCAGAGCCAGACTGGTGGCGAAGCACACCATGCAGTTGATGCAAATCTGCCATGCGATCTCTAGTAAGCTCGAACGAGAATTCTGGGCTCGAAGGAGGAGGAGGAGGAGGAGGAGGAGGAGGAGCAGGTGGTGGACGTCGAGAGGATTCCCCAACTGCCCCAAAGTGCCCTCCACGAGGCCAAGGGGCCCCGAAGCGGCATCCCAAGAGGCTCTCATACGCATCGAAAAGGTTCCTGACCCACAATGTAGCTCCCACGATCGGGACAAGGTCTCACTCGTCCTGAGGGTCGGCGGAATGTCGCAAGCCACTTGAATAGAAGGAGCGGGAGGAGCAGGATGACCAGGGGAAGGCGGAGGAGGAGGTGAACGACGAGAGAGGAGAAAGGACAAAGGAGAGAGGCAAGCTAGGTGCGCTCGCGCCTCATCTGACGTCCTAGCCCTCCCTCCCATCCCTTCCCATTGCGCTGACGCGTTCTCAATCCGCGGACGCGCGGCATAGCCGACCTGCCACTCCTACAAAAAACACAGCGTGGCATCCGCAACCGGAAAGGGTGAACTGCGTGCACAGGATGAGGAGGTGGTGGGTGAGCAAGAGGATGAGCGGGAGAAAAAGAAAGAGGACGAACAGCAGTAACAGGAACTGGAGTGGAACAAACGGGAGGAGCAAGCGGACTACAGGAAGGCGGAGGAGGGGAAATGAGGGGGGCGACAACGATGAAGAGGCACTCGGGTTCAGAACAGTAGTCCTTACTGGGGCCAGAGAGCCAGTCTGAACGACGGGGGCAAAGAGCCGATCCGAAAATGACGCCCACGCTGCAGCGAGAGCAAACATGTTGAAGCACCGGAAACAATCGGATTGAACAGAAAACATAAGAAACAAATCTAAGCGAAGGACACAGCAATGTGCAATTGTGGGCACAATAGTTGCGGGCATCACCTTCGGGGGATCTCCTCATGGCGCCATGAAGCATGCGAAGGGTGTGGCGATATGAGGCGGGGCCGCCGTGTGGGTGCTGCCGCTGGAGCGGCGGGGCCGCCACTGGAGTCGTCGGTGGGGCTGCCTGTGGGGCAACGAAACGCCGCAATGATGGGGGGAAGCGCATGCGAACACCGCCACTGGGGCATTCGGTGAAGCTCCCTATGGGGGCCACGAAACGCTATACTGGGCGCGGGGGGGGCGCATGCGAACAGTGCCGACAGGGCCTTCGGTGGAGCTCCCTATGTGGCCACGAAGCGCTGTACTGGGTGGGGGAGACGCATGCGAACGCAGCCGCCAGGGCCTTCGGTGGAGCTCCCCATGGGGCCACGAAACGCTGTACTGGGCGAGGGGGGCGCATCCGAAGTCCGCCACTGGTGCCTTCAGTGACTCCGTATGGGGCCGCGGCACGCAGCATTGGGTGGGGGAGACGCATGCGAACACCGCCGCTGGAGTCTTCGGTGGAGCTCCCCATGGAGCCACGAAACGCTGTACCAGGTGGGGAGGCGCATGCGAGCACTGCCACTGGAGCCTTTGGTGGGGCTCCCCATGAGGCCACGAAACGCCGTAATGAGTGGGATAATCGCATGCGAACACCGCCACTGGGGCATTCGGTGGAGCTCCCTTATGTGGCCACGAAGCGCTGTGATGAGCGGGAGAGACGCATGCGAACACAGCCGCTGAGGCTTTCGGTAGAGCTCCCTATGCGGCCACGAAGCGCTGTACTGGGCGGGGGAGACGCATGCGAACACCGACTCTGGGACCATCGGTGGAGCCCCCTGGGGCCATGAAGCGCCGTACTGGATGCGCTGAAATAGTGAACATGCAGAGGGCAAACGCAGGGATGGGAGGATGGGGAGGAGAGAGGAGAGGGAGGAGGAGAGGAGCAACGCAGGGATGTCTCTGCAAAACGAAGGCCAAACACCACAGGATGGTTGGGAACGACAAATGAAATCCTGCGTGAAGAACAGCACGTGGAGAGGGTCGAAAATCTTCCACGCGGGGTCAGGGAAGAGAAGACGGTAGTACTCATAATGCGTAAGTGTAAAGAGGAGGAGGATGAGGAGGAGGAGGAGGAGGAGGAAGAGGAGGAGGAGGAGGGATGAGAGAAGATACAGGAAAGAGGGGAGCGGAGAAAATAGAGAGGCAAGCCAGGTGCGCTCGCGCCATACCTGACGCCATACCCCTGCCTACCATCCCTTCCAATTGGCGCTGATTCGTTGTTTATCCGCGGACGCATGCCATAGCTTGCAAAAGCCGCCAATAACAAAGACCACAGCGTGGCATGCGCAGTCGGAAAAAAAAGGGAGCTGAATGCACAGGAGGAGGAAGTGGCGGACGAGCAGGAGGATGAGCAGGAGGAAAAGGAGCAGGATGAGGAAGGAGGAAGACGAGGACAACCAGCAGCAGTAAGAGCCGAAGTAGAAGGAACGGGAGGAGCAGGCACACTAAGGGGACGGCGGAGGAGGTGGACGACGAGAGACGAGAAAGGAGAGAGGAGAAAAGGCAAGCCAGGTGCACTCGCGCCTCATCTGGCATCCGATCCATCCCTCCCATCCTTTTCCCGTTGCGCTGACGCGTTCTCTACCCGCAGATGCGTGACAAAGCCGACCTGCATCTACACCAAAAAGGCCACAGCGTGGTGTCCGCAATCGGAAAAGGGGAGCTGCGTGCACAGGACGAGGAGGAGGAAGAGGTGGCGGGTGAGTAACAGGCACTGTGCTGAAAAGGAGCGGGCGGGACAGGAGGACCAGGGGAAGGCGGAACGGTAATGAGGAGGGCGACAACGATGAAAAAAAAACAGGTTCAGAAAAGTGGCCCACACTTCCGAACATGAGGCCCACTCTGCAGCGAGAGGCCCCTGCTTGAAGCGCCGAAAACAAAAGGATCGAACAAGCAAACGCAGGAAAACAACAAGTGGACAGCTGCGCGCAACACAGCACGCGGAGAGGGCCGAATGTTTTCCGCGCGGGGTCCGGGGAGACAGGAAGGTAGCATTCATAACGCGCAAGCGTAAAAACGAGGAGGAGGAGGAGGAGGAGGAGGAGGAGGGGGAGGGGGAGGAGGAGGAGGACGAGGAGGAGGAGGAAGAGGAGGAGGAGGAGGAGGAGAAGGACAAGGACAAGGACATCCGCATAAAGAGGTTCAACGTCAAAACACCAACGCTAGCGCCTTGCGCGCATCCGGCAAAATCCCCTGCGATTGGTCATGCAACGGCCCTGCCTTCTCACTAGGGCCAGCAGGGTGCAGACCCCGTTGCTCAAGGAACGAGCTCCGAGGTGGCCCCGTAAGAAAGGCTCGCTACCTTGCGATTACGGGTCCCTGCGGGTCAGCGCGGGGGGGCGCAACTGCTGGCCCTTCCGCGCGCCCAAGGGACGGGGACGCGCGGGCTTAGCAGGGCGCCCAAGCTAGGGGGGGGTGGGGGGGGGGAGACGACGACGCGACAATTCGAAAGGAGGAGGGGGAGAGGGTCGGGGGGCCCGTGCTTCCCAAACTTTTGTTGGGGAACCGAATTACCCTACTGATTTTATTATACCTATTCTCTCCTCCTTCGCTCGGCTCACTTCTCTTCCGCGTCGAACTGGCCGATAGTTGCCCCATGCATTATCGTATCTGTACTCTGATACCCTGTTGAAGTATCCAACTGTCCCCCCTCGAAGTGCATGTGGGGTGGGGCATGCTGGTAGTAACGGTATGTTGTAGGTGGGGTCATCGAGGATGCGCTCTG